TCTCTCTCTCTCTCTCTCTCTCTCTCTCTCTCTCCAATGAATCCCATTAAAATCCTTTCCCCATTGCTTTAAACCTCTGTTTCTTATAGGAAATCACAACTCTTTCTCTCTCATACTAAACTCATAAATGCTCAGCTCCTATGCCAAGCCAAGAATTTATCTGTAAGCGACTGTTGGTTTCATTGGTGAAGAAGATCAAGGTGTTTCCTAAGGCTCAGCTACCCTTTCGAAACACTCTTAGGGTCTAATCATCGAACTTAGACTCAATGGGCAATTCATACATTTGGCTCTTTACAACAGTCCAGGCCCATCAGTAGTTGCCGGAACGAAAAAGCCCCTACAACCATTATATTTATAAATAAATAAAAATTATAATAATCTTACAAGTGTACAATATATAAATAAAAGTTTATCACTATAAACTAATCCAACTTCTCTGGTTTCGGCTTTGTCTTACCCACTAATTGATCTGAAAAACAAAATAGGTAAGGAATGAGCAAACCACCGCTCAATAAGTATATTATGTAATATGTCAGTCAAGCGATGTCATTTTACACACTCTATAAAAATATAATAAAAGATACATAATCCAAATCATATCACATCATTACTTTATATCTTGGTTATCCTTCGCAGATTGTAACCAGTACGTGACCCCTATTGGTCTCACTACCCTATGTCCCCGTATGGTACATTTATCTTTCGGATACCCCGTCACTGAAGTTCTCATTTTCCATAAATAATACATACTTCACAAAAACTCCAAATAATATATATTGTGTGAAATATTGCACAAATTAGACATGCATGACTTGAAAATAGAGAGATGTTTGTAAATAGAATAAACCTATGATTTTTACATTTATCACAAAATAAGAACTTTTAGAACATATTACATAACCACTCACTATGATAAGTATGAAATATTGCAAGACAACACACACACACACACACACTTTTCATCTTGTTTCTTTTTCTTCCTTATATATCTCTCTCTCTCTCTCTCTCTCTCACTATTTCATGGTAGAAATCTATCTTAAAGGATTGGAATGAATGATTGAAGTATGGAAGCATGATACTTATAGGAAAGGCTATGGATGCACCCAAATAATATTTATATATACAATATTTTAAACCACCAAAAGATAAGATAGAAAAGTAAGAGAATAATATGACTCATCCCCCTTTAGCCAATGATATCACAACACCACCTCCAAAAGATAAGATAAAAAGATAAAGGAATAATTTGAGTCATCCACCTTTGGCCAATGATATCACAACATCACTTGTTACTAGCATACAAGGTGGCATGGCAATGATGATTTGATTAAAACCAATTCTAAGTCTCTACACATGGATAACAAGAATGATGTCATCTTTCAAGGGATAATCTTATACTAGGCTTAAGATTTAATAACATACAAATCTTCACAATAAATATTTAAATAAGAAAATTTCATATTAATAAATAATTAATATGTAGTATCAATAATTATATATATATATATTTTATAGGTAAATTAAAAAAACCTTCATGAAATGGACTTTAGAAACACACCTAAAGCCTATTTACAACATAACAAAGAGGTTTCAAACTTCCTATAAATTATAAAATTACCATCGATTGCTTAAAATAAGTCCAATCTTAAAACCTTATGAAAAACCCAAAACACTCAACAGGGTATCAAAGTAATTTAATAAAAAATTAATAATAAAAATTAAATTCAACAGGATAGCTGTCTTTTTTTTGAGTTTTTTTTTGGATTTGTTTATAAAATTTAAATGATGTAAAATTTATCTATATCACTAATACTAAAAATGGATATATAACTAAATATCTAAATTAGGAACTCGCTTTTCTTCCTCAAACATTGTCTATGGTTTATTGATGTTTGCTTTGAACGTTGATCATGCACACTGCCTCAGGTGTCTTCACAATGGGCTTGGCAGGGTTTGGGTTGACTAGGCCTTGAGGAACTAAGCTTGTTCTTCAGACCTTGACGATGGTCTAAATTATTTTCGAACTCATTGGGTCAAATTGGCTCAACAAAAACTTGGATGTATGATGATAGCAAGAATTTTATAGTGAGGGATGAGACCCTATTTTTTAATCGTCGAATTAAATTGGTTAGTTTGATCAAGCGATTAAGAGATATGACCTCATTTAAGGCCCTTATTATAGAATGACTCTATGATGATGATATATTAGAAAACATTACACATTTCTGAAAGCAAATACCTGAATTATTAATATGGATAATAAGGGTACAAATATTAATAGGTAAAAATACCAGCTACTCTCTGTTCCTTTCCTTGTGTACTGTCTGCAGAAAGCTTTGAGCATCCTAGCATCAGCAAATTGAAAACAATTTTGACCTTTCCTTGTTGCTTCGTACATCGATCGTCCTGTGGATGCGTTCAAGTTCTTGCCCACACACTTACAGGACTCTTTCTAATTTTACTTCACAGTTTCTATTGATACGGCTACAGTGGCAGCCTTGTGCTTCATGATTTGGCCCCAAAATTAAATTGCATTCATGGTTGATGCTTACCATACAAAATTATGTCCTCCCGCAGCCAGCCCTGCCTCTGTAGCTATTCTAGATGCTGATGATGCCAACTCAGGCAATGGCCTACAGAAATCAATTTCTATATACTGTTTAATTTTTCCCATACACGAAGCTGTGCAAATTAACTATTTTATTTCCTTGAATAAATCATAAAACAGAGCCCAAAAAAAAAAAAAAACATACATTCTTTTCTTGGTGTGACTTTGACAAATTACAAAGTTTGAATTGAAGTGCCC